AAATTTCAATAAAAAATAAGTTTTAGTTTAATTAAATGCTAAGGCGTTAACTAAAGCTGAATATAAACTAAAAGATTTTCCTCTTTTCTCTTTTTTAATTGTCTATTTTGTACTGAAAAGGTCAAAGTTTGTTTAGTTAATTTGTAAATAGCCTTACGCGAACATGGTCAATAAACAATATGTTTCATTTTGTTTTCGATTAGAATCTAATTAAATCTTTTTGCAGAATTTTCTTCACCTTTTATCATCGACAACTTTCGTAGTTATTTTTTGTAGATATATATTAACGAAAAGATTTTTAAATTTGTGTATTCAGTATCTAACAGAAATTAAAAATGTCATTAAAAGAATTGTAAAATAAAAGTAGTTTTCCTTGAAAATCTGTTACACGATATTTTTTAAAAAAACGCTTTTATTGAATTTTAATATTCTGTTGTATAAGATTTTATTTAAGGATCGCACTTAGTATTTATTATATTTTCATGATGAGCTTAACAAATAATGCATTAGTTTTAATATTCTGACGGAAAATGTCTGGACTGAAGCAAAAAACTCAACAAAAATGGAATTATTGATTTACGCTAGAATTCTGAATTGATTTGGTTGAAATACTACTATGTCCTTAGCCTGTAAAGCTTCGGATGTTATAAAAAGTTAAAGGCAATGTTACTCAGTAGTAAACTAAACTAAAAATTATCATTGTTATCAGTCCGAAGACTGGAGCATCTCCACTCCTTCCTATCCTGAGTCAATCTTCGTATTTATCGAAAACTTTAGAGCTACCTTCGTATCTTTCCTTCATTTTATTGTTTTTATATCTCCCTTGGCTCTTCTACACCCTTTCTAATTTCCCCTTATATCTGATATAATAAATGTCTTTCTCTGTCTTTGTTGTAGGTGTCTAACTAGTCCTTCTTGTCTCAGAAGGTACCTTACTATCCTATTCTCATTGAATTTCATTCCATTCTTCTCCTACTCTCTAATATCTCCTCATTTTTTAATTTAATCTGGATGTTCTTCTGTACATCTTTACTCCTGCTTCTCTGTTTCTTATATGCCTCTCACTTACTCCTTATGCCTAAAAAAGTGTCCTAGCTTCCTTTGTTTCCCTTCTTCTTAATGAATTCCATAACGGGAAGCGGTTCGCAGTTGTTAAAAAAATTATCATTGTATTTCTTTTTTTTTTTGTTTCCAGCATACGGCTTAAGATGTATTAGTTGTAACTCAGTCAAAGATCCCGATTGTGCTAATCAGCCCCCTCAGAAGTATAGTGTCGAATGTGCCCATTTGGTTCTCAACATATACGACTCCTTCTGCCTCAAAAAAGTGACAAAAGGTAAGCAATACCAAAATATTTTATTAAGAATGTGTCTACCACACATTTTTATATTCTGAATTATTATTTGTTGACGATATTTTTGTGCCTTATTATTTGATTTTCTACATTTCAACAAGCCAAGATACTTATTAAAACAATTTTTATCATTATTGAGCAAGCGTAGGGGGCAACACGCTTAAATTAACTCTCCAATTGAAGTATATTAGCTAATAAAATTCTTGTCTACACTTTTAGTGTAACAGAGAGAAGGTAAACGAAAAAAATTTAAAGAAAATTATAAAAACTTTACAATATCATTTTAAAAGTATGACTTTCTCTTTCTTGGATGGGAATAAAATTTGTGTGAATATATTAATATGTTAATTTTCAGTTTAACCTTTTAAATTAAAGTTCGACAAGTTGAAAGGAATTTGTCAAACATTATTAAATACTACAACAAGTAGTAATTCTCTCAGATGGTATTTCTTAAATGATTTTTTTTGTGTTTTAGACCGCGATGGTAAAGAAACCACCGTTCGTAAATGTTCAGCAGTTGAAAATAAAGATTTTACCAATGAATGTTCTGTAAATCCTGGAACAGAGTTAGTTTATTGTCAGGAATGTAAGGACGATTTGTGTAATTCTGCAAACACGAATCGCTTCACATTCTTGGGAATTATGAGTGCAATCTTAGTTTATTTTGTCACTAATCACTTTTAATTTTCCGATTTTTATCATAATTTAAAATTTATATAGCCTACTCTCATAATTATTAAAAATATTGATCTGACATCGTAATTTTAAATAAAAAGTACCTCGAGAATTATTAGTTTTTATTATTGTTATTTTTACAGTTTGTTTTTTTTGTTGTTATATAGACCTACACATATATTTTTATACAAATGGTTTATCTACTTTTAATAAACAATAAATTACGTAACTTGCTGAATGTAATAGTACCTAATTTTGAATGCATACAACACAAATGTAGAAAGAAGTAATAATTGTTGTTATAAATTTCGGAAAATGTAATACGTATGTTGTGAAAAAGTAGACTAATAAATTTTTGAACAAACTGTTTGTTTTATTTTTCTTTGATATGCTTGACTGCAATAAAAACAAAATTTATCTCGGCACCTCCACCAAAAGTAAAGAACTCAAATTTTCTGAGACGTTTCTTTTAATTTGTTTAGATTATAAAAAAAAGTATTCATCAAATTAGTAAAAAAAGGATCTTGTTTTAATTGCAAACACCCTTCCAATGGGTGTTTTTTAAACAATTAATATGAATTTTACAATCGGTAAGTATTTTTATAATTTTTGTATATGATGTGTTGACGGTTAACACTTTTGGGTGAAATTTAAATAATTTGTAGAAGTTAAATTTATAACTTTTTGTGTTTTTAATTATTATATTAAGCATTCAAAATCTCAAATAATTGTGCCACTATTGATTACAAATGATAAGTAAAAAGAAATCACTTCTGCACTTGCGAGCGATGAATTTAGAAATTTGGATTCAGGATAATAACTCCGTACGTGTGGTGTTATAGGCGGATGCTTATAATATCGTAAATACAGGTAAGGTGTTGGAAGGGTTAGAAGAAGAAAGGGTGGTAACTTTGGATATCAATAAGGAAAAGGAGAGGTTTGATGGTAGGACGTATTCTGGGATATATATGCATAAGAAGTAGAAGTAGGAATTACGAGGCATAGAAGAAATCCTAGATTAAATTAGTGTTCGCGAATAGTTAAGGAAGTCAAATGTTCTGGTTTTCGGGAAATGGAAAGATTGACTCAGGATAGGAAAAGATGTAATAGGTGCGTGTCCAGTTAGTTTTCGGACTGACTACTCTGTGATAATAATGAACTCAATTTATGATATTTCCACTTCCATATACACATATAAGAAAATAACTCAGTATAGGTATAATTAATATAGTATAGGTATATTATTATATTTTCATGATGAGCTTAACAAATAATGCATTAGTTTTAATATTCTGACGGAAAATGTCTGGACTGAAGCAAAAAACTCAACAAAAATGGAATTATTGATTTACGCTAGAATTCTGAATTGATTTGGTTGAAATACTACTATGTCCTTAGCCTGTAAAGCTTCGGATGTTATAAAAAGTTAAAGGCAATGTTACTCAGTAGTAAACTAAACTAAAAATTATCATTGTTATCAGTCCGAAGACTGGAGCATCTCCACTCCTTCCTATCCTGAGTCAATCTTCGTATTTATCGAAAACTTTAGAGCTACCTTCGTATCTTTCCTTCATTTTATTGTTTTTATATCTCCCTTGGCTCTTCTACACCCTTTCTAATTTCCCCTTATATCTGATATAATAAATGTCTTTCTCTGTCTTTGTTGTAGGTGTCTAACTAGTCCTTCTTGTCTCAGAAGGTACCTTACTATCCTATTCTCATTGAATTTCATTCCATTCTTCTCCTACTCTCTAATATCTCCTCATTTTTTAATTTAATCTGGATGTTCTTCTGTACATCTTTACTCCTGCTTCTCTGTTTCTTATATGCCTCTCACTTACTCCTTATGCCTAAAAAAGTGTCCTAGCTTCCTTTGTTTCCCTTCTTCTTAATGAATTCCATAACGGGAAGCGGTTCGCAGTTGTTAAAAAAATTATCATTGTATTTCTTTTTTTTTTTGTTTCCAGCATACGGCTTAAGATGTATTAGTTGTAACTCAGTCAAAGATCCCGATTGTGCTAATCAGCCCCCTCAGAAGTATAGTGTCGAATGTGCCCATTTGGTTCTCAACATATACGACTCCTTCTGCCTCAAAAAAGTGACAAAAGGTAAGCAATACCAAAATATTTTATTAAGAATGTGTCTACCACACATTTTTATATTCTGAATTATTATTTGTTGACGATATTTTTGTGCCTTATTATTTGATTTTCTACATTTCAACAAGCCAAGATACTTATTAAAACAATTTTTATCATTATTGAGCAAGCGTAGGGGGCAACACGCTTAAATTAACTCTCCAATTGAAGTATATTAGCTAATAAAATTCTTGTCTACACTTTTAGTGTAACAGAGAGAAGGTAAACGAAAAAAATTTAAAGAAAATTATAAAAACTTTACAATATCATTTTAAAAGTATGACTTTCTCTTTCTTGGATGGGAATAAAATTTGTGTGAATATATTAATATGTTAATTTTCAGTTTAACCTTTTAAATTAAAGTTCGACAAGTTGAAAGGAATTTGTC